GCATTCCCCACCCTCTACCCTTGGCCACCACGATTGTCCTGGTGTGGCCAACATGTGACCTGGTTTCATTGTTTCAGAAAAGCAGTAGTGTTCTGGCCTGCCGACCCTACCCCATCAAACCCAGAACCAAACACAAACAGCAATTCCTTGTCCGAGTCACTCCGCTGACCCATGCAGTCAGCCTTCTAGAGAAGCCTGGCATGTGCTTCCCCACTGCGCGCCACACCCTTGCCCCCCGAGCCAAGATCCTGGTGTCTGCTCACTAAGCAAAGTTACGGCTCAGTTTTTGTTTTTTGTTTTTTTTTTTTTTTTTTTTTTTTTTGTACCGGGGATCGAACTCACAGCCACGCACTTGCTAGGCAGGTGCTTGTGCCGCTGAGCTAAATCCCGGCCCCTAGCTCAGTATTTTTTTTTTTTTTCTTCCAGCTCAGTATTTTTAACTACTGTGTGAGACCTTGCTACTCCTGCCTGAGTTCTGGGCAGCTCTGAGAATCTGACAGTGTGAGGGAAAAGTGGTAGCAGAACTGGACACCACCCCCATCCATGTGGTTTTAAAGGGAAAGAAAGGGGTAGGAGCAAAGAGGGAAGCGGGCCAGCTCAGGGTTCAGCCGCACAAAGGGGAAAGGGCCCCAAGTAGGCCGCCTCTGGGCTGGGCGCGGGGGGCCAGGCAGGCCTCCCTGAAGGGATGCACAGTGAGGCCCAGTGCCCACCTGGTGCGGGGCAGCTGCTAACAGCCTCCCTGGGTGCTGCGTTTCTCAGAAGTCAAGGAACCATGAGTTAGAGCCACCAAAGTGCAGGGTCTGAGCCCAGCCCACAGTGAGGAGTTAGGATGTACCTCTGCGTGGTCCTGGCTATTATTATGGTTCAGACCTCCGAGGGGCCCCAGAAGCCAACACCAACCTGGCTTAGAGCCGAAGAGGTTGCTCTCAGGCAGAATTGTGGCTGAAAAGTCCTTAAACCTAGCACTGAGGAGCTGAGGATTTAGCTCAGTGGCACAAGCACCTCCCTGGCAAGCATGAGGTCATGAGTTGCATCCGTAGTACCCCCCACTCCCCAAATCCTAGAGCTAGGACCTACCAGGCCAGAATGCTCTGGAACAAACAGAACTGTGTGGCTAAGCTGCTCCCTGCTTCGAGGCCAAGTTACAACCCTGTCTGGTCACAGCCCAGGCCCTGGCCTTCAGCCTGCAGGTGGCCTCCTGGGTAGAGGTGGGGAATTACTTCTCTTGAGGCCTGAGCCAGACTCCACCCCACTGGGGCCCTGGGGCCTGGGCAGCAGAGCCACACCGTCAGGAATATGGGGGAGGGGGAGGCGCCAGGGCACCATAAGCAGGGCGCCAAGGCAGCTGAACCTTTATCTTCCATCAAGGTCCCCCAGATGCTCTATTGGCACATGGTCCAAGTGGCCTGTCCCTTGCGGGCACTCCCAGGATTCCTCCCCAGGCTCTGTTTCTTCCTCTGCAGGCAGTCTGCTATTGTAGAACCAACCTGTGTTCTGGGCTTGGACAGATGAGCTGCAATCCACCCTCCATACTGATTAGCTGAGTCATCATCGTGGGCAAGCGCCTGCTGCATGCTGAGCCCTGGCTTCCTGGTCCAAGCACAAGGGGTGGGGGTGGGGAGCCATGCATGGTGTGACGCGTGCAGGGGAGGCCTGGCCTGGCCCTGCACAGCGAGGACACTCGAGGTCTGTTTCACTATCCAAGCAGCGCTGAGGTCTGCTCTAGTGCTGCTCACTTCCAAGTTGTGGGTGTCGTCTCTGAGCATGGTGGGAAGGTGGAATGTCTGCCCCCGTTGCACTCATTCTCCATGTCCGCGCCCTGTGGACTCCAATGTCTCCTCTACTACAGTTAACCTCAGTGTGGACGTCTTCAGTATGGAGCCTAAGTAGTACCCAAGTTAAGAAATAGCATGACAGGCTGGACATGGCGGCACACGCCTGTAATCCCAGACAAGAGGAATGTTGTGAGTTCAAGGCCAGCCTGCACTGCATAGAGACACGTCTCAAAAAAGAGAAGAAAAGAAAAAAAAATACCCCGAAGAAATAGCATGACAGACAAAATAGCATTCCACTTTTTATTGGATGCTTTAATAGGCCTGTGTGGAGGAAACCCCTATCATATACAAGAGTGGAATTTTAGACTTTTGCCAACAGTGTGAAAGAAGACCCACTGGCCCCCAGAGAATGACAGCTTGGGTATGACCCAGCTCCACAGACAAGGTGGCATCACACGCAGAGAAAAGGACTTCACCTTCAGCCAAGCTCATGGCTGGCTTTTCCCAGGATTTCAGCTGCGCCCTGGCAGACCCCACTGGACGCTTCCAGGGACTGCGAGCAAGCTCTTATCTTTGGAGACAGGGTGGTTACCACACTCTAGACATGTGTGCAGAGAGATGCTGAAAGCTGTTACACCAAGAAAGGATGATTTTCATATTAGCCTCTAGCTTTCATCCTACTGCAAGTAGCGGATAAATAAACCAATCCAATTAAAGTGACACCCTTGGAATAAAACAAGGGGACACTTGCAGCTGCTGAGAAATACCCTCGCATGTCTGTAAACTTGGCTTGTCACGGGTGCCCGAGTCTAGCTGGTGTACCTGAGCCCCTCTTTGATAGTTTACCCCCATCAGAAAGTCATCTTTGATGGCCGTGCTGTCACTGTGATCCCAACAAAGCTCATCTTTCAATGACTTCTAGGTCCTTCCACCAAGAGCTTCCACTGTAAATGCTCTGATTGGAAATTTTAGGAACTTCTTTTAGGAAGCACCAACAGGTCCTGAGAATGATTTAAACTTTCAGGCCCAAATATGGGTCAGATTATACTGAGGATGGGGCTGGGGATTTAGCTCAGCAGCATAAGCACCTGCCTTGCAAGCAGGCAGTTGTGAGTTTGATCCCTGGTACCGATAAAAAAAAAACGAAGAAAAAGACAAAAAAAAAAAAAAAGATTATACTGAGGTTGATCCTTTTCGGGCACTGTTGGCCAAGTAGTCCCAGCTGCCATCACCTTTAGGTTTGACTTCTAGGCCTGCGCAGAGGTCCTTGGTGAGCTGTGAGGGGACAGCTTCCTGTCCTCTAAGGTCTGCTCCTATGACACATGCTATTATAGACTTGACCCCTGGAACCAGTGGCCTTGCAATTGCCTTGCAGTTGTTGGGTACAGAGTTTTCAGGTCCTTCTCTGGACATTCCAAGGGGTTGGAACCAAGAATTAAAGAGACCAGGTCTTGGTTCTGGAGGTTGGAAACCAATAGACATAATTCCTTTTATGTTTTGATAAAATGCATGTGGTAAATTTTGCTTATTAGAACCTGGAAGATTTCTACAGCTGCCTGGACTTCAGCATATGAACATCTACTCTTCCTCAGGGATCAAGGAGAACAGTCAGAAGCAGACCCAACTGTCATGGTTACATCCCTCCTTTCTGTTCCTTTGGCTTCATACCATCCCCCAGCCATCATAAACCACTAGCAGCTGTTCACCTACTACAAAGTCCCAGACAGAAGCCATAGATAGAGGTTATACCATTGTCCGCCTCCCTGCCCCCAGGTGAGGCTACTCTTGAAACATCCAAGTGGAACAGGGCTTGTGACTGGCATCTGTCTAGACACTGGTGAGAAAACTCACCCAGGGGGAGCCCACCTGCCACTCACATGGCACCTCTCAGCCAGGGACCTCTGTTTCCTGAGCTTGGCAGTGTCAGACCAACTTTTGCCCATTTTCTCATCTTTTTCCAAGCAGCTGTCCCTTCCTACCAAGGGCCCACACTGGTATCAGAGGTCACTGAGGTCCCAGTGGTGTCTGGGAGCAAGACTATGGAAGATGTGTCCCCAGAGCTTGGGTGTCCCTGAGCAGCACCCTCACTGCCATGACCCATTCCCTGGCAGTGTTGCTGACACTGACCACCCTTCCTACTGCAGGGTAGGACTCAAACCCCGGAGCCAGAAACCAGAGAGGGAGGTGGGAAGCCTATGCCTGAACCCTCTGCTCATGTTCCTGTGACTTTCCCTAAGGAGGACTGTCATACACTGATTCCCAATGGAATCGGTGCACAGCACTGTTCCCTGTACCAGCTGGAATTCTGGAAAGACATAGAGTTAAAAAAAAAAAAAAAAAAAAAGAAAAGTCTGATTCATGCAAGGTCATCTGTCTTGATGAATTTATACCTGGAGACATCTCACAGTACATAGCAGGGCTGGTATTTAACACCTGTACCACTACTGTTGGCTTTTTAATAGTATAAGCCCCAAACCTGTATCCAGGGCCGTCCAACCACCAAGCTCTTCCCAAACCAGGATGTACTCACACTGCCCAAATTAACTGTTGGCCACAATTTAAACCAAAAATTCATTCCTGTCATGGGTCACAGTTCAAGTCCTCAGTTGGCACAGGTGACTACCACACTGGACATTTCCATTGCTGCATTACAGCAAGTCATGTCAGTGACGCAGGCCTCAGGGGCCTTGCTTGGCTGTTTCTATTATGTGTTTGTGTCACATTACTTTATGGCCGGGCATGGTGGCATATGCGACCAATAATTCCAGCACTTGGGAGGCTGAGGCAGGAGGATTCTTGCAAGTTTAGTTGGAGACAGTCTTGGCTACAATGAGTTCAAGGCCAGCCAAAACTGCATAGCGAGACCCAGTCTCAAACATGAAGACAAAAAAAAAAAAAAAAAAAAAAATTTTGAAATGGCACCTATATCTTCGGCAGGACACAGAATCCATGACATATCCTTGACACTCCAGGGCCATGAGCCTAGAACCAGCTCCTGGCTATGGCTATAAAGTCAAGGACAAGCGAACTGGCTACATGAGCATGTCCTGCAACGTGACTGTCCCCTCCTCCCACCATCCCCTCTCCCAGACTGAAAGGATTCACAACAGACGCACCTCAATGCTCCCGGAAAATTTGGGCTCAGGTAGCTCCAATGATGACTCCACCAGCGATTCCACAAAAGCTAAAACCAACTGTAAATTTGTAAATAAGAGGCCACACCCCTTGTAAACAATTGACTTTTTATAAAAAGAGAACTGTACATATTTACACTGATCCATTATACATGACTCTGGTTTGATGGTATTTCCAATTCTGTCACACCAAGGCGCTCACACATCCTTCCCGGGGCTGCCAGGGCCTGGGCGGGTGGTGGGCACTGGACAAGGCACTGTATAAATAAATGCAGAGGCCAAAAGCTTGGGGAAAACGTTAGTGTACACCTTGGATAAGGAATGTGGCAAGGTCCACAAGAAAGTGCCATGTATCTTCCCATGCCCCTCAACCGGAGCAGGAGCAGGGCTGCTCTGAGGCTGGGGGGCACCGCCACGCAGGACCCCTCCTTCCTTCACATTTCACTGGCTTTCAAACAGTGCCCAGGGCTCAACTGGGAAGGGAGGCGGTTCTTTGGGAGTACGATTCATTTAGTGCAACTGTCTCTTAGGCAGAGCCAGCCTGGGCTTGGTGCTGTGCTCTTCTGAGGTCACCCATCTGTTCCCTGGGGCCAGCTCAATGACAGTGAGACCCTCTGCAGGCAGCTGGGCTGAGGGAAAAGCGAGACAGGCCCACTCCTGTCCAAGTCTCCGCCTGAGTCACCGGTCCCTTAGGACCCCTCCACCCTCTTCCGGAGAGGCTAAGCCAGCTTCACGCCACAGGATGAGCCCAGTCCCTGGCCTGCAGGTCCTGAGCGTCCACTGACCGACCCAAGGGGGAACAGCACCATCCTTGCTTGGCAGAGGGGTCTTGGTTTGCTTCACTGAGGCCCACAGGGGCCTAGCTTTTCTGCACCACAGCCACCACGATGCGAGGTCCTGCTTGCCTGTGAGCGAGGGGGCCAGGGGCCCAGCTATGGCGCACAGGGTATGGGCTGGATGGAGGGCAGCCTGACTGGGGGCAGCATGCCATCCAGCCAGCTGGGGTCCATGTTCTTCAGATCGGTGAAGACGCGTTGTAGGCTCAGCCCAATGTCACCTGGCAGGGTGAACAAAACTGTATGAGGAGGGATCCGGGGGGAAGGTGGCTTCCCCATGCTCTGTCCCTTAATGCTACCAACACAGTCCTGCTGTCCACACCTCAGCAGCAAGCACCCACTCACCTGTAGGGAAACCTCAGAGCAGCAGCTACCTCCCACAATGTCTACTCTTCACCTCACTGTGCCCTGGGCCCGCCTGCAAGCATTCCCCCACCCCACATACATCTTTCACCTGCTAAGGAGCAGGGCATAAAGGTGTATGTGTTTAATCCTGACACTCTGGGAGGCTGAGACAGGAGGATCACATGTGCAGGCCTACCCTAGGCAACTCAGTGACTGAGACTCTGTCTCAAAATTTAAATAAAATGACAGCCCAGAGAGGTAGTTTAGTGCAAAGGCCCTGCATTCAATCCCCAGTATGGAGGGCAAAAAAGAAAAGAGAGAGAAGCCACAACCTTCTAGGGGCTTCTTACCCCCTGGGCTGTCAGTTTCTGGCTCCTCTTTGCAGCTGAAGTCTCCGTAGACGGATGTAGGCTGGACTCCAGGTTCATTGAGCAGGTAACCCTTCCCGTCCACATTCGTGGGCTGCCACTCTGACTGCTCCAAGAGCTGAGAGAAGAGGGACAAGCTGTCGGCTGCCTTCCACTGAAGACCGCCTGCCCTGGTGCCTGTACTTTCCAACACCCTCGGGTGCAGGTGCTGGGAGGCAGAAAGGCACACCGGCCTTGTCCCTTGGGTTATTTTTCTCTGCTCCCTCTACCCCATGAGCTAGCCCAGAATCTCCATGAGTTCCCACAGCTGTGAGGACACAGCAATGGGAGTGCAGCTTAAAGCAAGGCGAGCGGGGGTCCAGGGATGCAGCTGAGCGGCCCCCTGGCAAGGCTGGCAGAACAGGAAAAGACAACCCCAAGAGCTAAAGAACTATGCCTACATCTCAATTTTTTGTGCTGCAAGCGCAGCCTCAAGGTAAAACCACCTCAAAACCTTTTTTAGATTCACTTTAAAAACTAAAGCAGAAAAAGGAAAAAAACTGGAAAATAATTTAACTTCTAAAAACTTTTAATCCATGCCATTCTTGACTCTAGAGTCTGACTACTGAAACCTGGCATGTGTTTCCCAAACTAACTGGGCATGTAGGGATGGAGGACCCAGCCTGCGACCTGGTAGTGCCGGCAGCTGGCTCACTGGCTATCTGGGGCCCCGAGGCCTCCCACCTGCCCTCCATTCCCGTGTCCTTCCCACCCGCCCAGAAGGGCAGCAGCACTCCAAGCAGCCAGGTGATGCTGAGGGCAGCTGCCCAGGTGGATCTGAAAGCCCTCCCCGGCCCTGCCTCTCCTCAGTGAGAAGCAGGCTCTCAAGAGCACCCGCGGAGGAAGGGGCTTTACCTTCATGATGTCCTCGGGGATCTTCCCTTCCTCGTCCTCATCTGTCGTAGCTGTGAATGGGAAACGCAGAAAGGTTGGCGGGCAGTTAGCCAGATTGCCCTGCACCCCCAACCCCACAAGCTCCTGGTGACCTCCCATGGGACACGTGTCTGCCACCAAGATTCCCAAATAGCGCTCAGCTTCCCAAACAATGAGGCGTCGCCTCTTCTCCCCACTCCTCTTCCTTGCTCACCCTCAGACAGAGGTTTCAGAACTAACAACTTCTGACCCCTCCCCACCCTCCCGCTGCGGTACTGTAGCCCAGTCCCCACTGCCTTCCTGGTATCCCAGGGCCTTGCCTCCTCCCTGTCCAGCCTGGGCTATGCCTGGCTCAGTCAGCTCAGCAGCAGGGGAGCCCCAGCATCTTTTCTCCCACAGGAGGCCCCACCACTTGGGACTCCTCCACCTGTCAGGCAGACAGGCTGAGCCCTTCCAGTACAAACCTTCAGAGGTGGAAGGCATGGGTGACACCTGGAAGTTGTAAAGGTCACTAGTGCTATCTGGCATGATCTCCACCGGTAGGTGCCAGTCCGGGAGAGTGCTACTGATGCCACACGGTGACAGTGCTGGGTGGGGGACAACAGAAACCAAAGGTCAAGGCTATGTTTTGCTAGCCTGCAAGATTCCCAGACCCCCTACTCCCTGCCAGTATTAAGGGAGCTTCCAAGAATCACTATGCAACCTGTGGGGTCTGGCAGACCCAGCACCCTCACCTGGAGTAAGGGCCCGATCCATGTCCAGGTCCTGTCCCAGGTAGCCATGAGCTGTGTAGCTGCTGTGATCATCGGGCAGGGTGCAGCTGCTGAGCCCATCTGAGAAGGTGTCGGGGCTGGAATCCCCACATGACTGCCAAGGGAGAGAAAGCCGCTCAGGCCCCTGAAGCCCCCTTGCCCCGCTCTCCTCCTTCCAAGGGCACCAAGGGTTTGGCTGCCTGCAATCACACTCACCTTCCTCTTGCCCTTGCTCTTAGTGTCACGGCTGGACTTGGACTTTCTCTCTGTGGACAGACAGGCTGTGGTCAGCTCTGGCAGAGGCAAGCCAGCCATACAGCCATAGAGTCTCCCTCCCGGGGCTTCCGGAGGACCCAGAATGCTTGGCTACCTTTCCTCTGGTTCTTGGTGAGAGGTGGAAGCATGCGATACACCCGCACAGCTGTGCTGCCCTTGTTCCGGCTTTGGTCCTTCACCTCCTCGATGTCTGGCAGGGAGTTCATGGCACAGCGGAAGTTTGCCTTCCACGTCTTGGGATCTGGCTCCTTTTCCCCTGCTTTGTATCGGCCTGGAGAGCAGAGTGCCCTGGATCATCAGCTGCCCCCTTGGCTTGGGAGGAAGCAGGCCAAGGGTACCCTAGACCCCTACACTGATTAAAGCAGCAGGTATTCCTAGGCTGCGCTGTGGGGGCCCTTGGCTGTGGGGCTTCTCAGACATCCAGCAGGCTCAGTGAAGGGCCCAAGTAGGAGTTCCAGAATGCTGCTACCCCCAAACTGTATTGTCTCCAGGGTCGTGTTATTTCCCTGCTTGCACCACCAGCAGCCAGAGGCTAGGGGCTGGGGCTGCGCTGGTATTTCCAAACCAGGAATGGGCAGAGTGGCGGGGAGCAGCAGTGGCTAACAGATGGCTGTTTCAAGTCAGGTCAAGAAGAGCCCCATTCCTCAAGGATAAAAGGCCACCAATGAGGACCTGGGGTCAAGAACCATGGTCAACATCTGGAAAAAGGAAGATCTGGGTCTCTCTTTCAGTGTCTTGGCTTGCAACTGCTCTCTCCAGGGAGAACTTCCACCCAGCCACAGAGAGTCTGAAGCCATGCTAACCTATGGGCTCTATGAACCCTGAGAACTTATAGAAGTGGTGGATTCTGTCTTCCTCCAACACAGGCCTGCCCCAGCCCTTCCAGGTCACTCTGCACACTGTCAAAGGGAGCTCTGAGACCAGGGGTGGGCCTCTGTGTAATGTCAGTGCCTCCTGGTCTCCTCCCCTGGTCGGAGGCGAAGTCCTAAGGACACACCTGTGTGAATGGCCCAGCTGCGGAAGAGACAGGCGTCCTTATTGATGTCCCAGCCATGCTTGGCCGCATGCTTCCACGGGATCTGGAAGATCATCTCTTCCTGAACGACACACACAAAGGCTGCTCAGCTCCGAGACCACAGGCCCTGCAGTTGCACGTGCCCAGTCCCTCAAGCTCTGGGAAAAGGCAGACTTCCCTTTTTCACCCTGACATCTGTCATGGGTTGACCTGCCTTGAGAGCAGGTTGCACAGGCCATGCTAGAGCTCTCGGGAGAGGTCCAAATTCTGATCAACTGTGACACCATCAGCTCTGCACAGCCCACCCCACACAGCAGCCTCCCCTCCAGCCTCGGTCTGGGATGCTTCTGTCTGGCTTGTCAGCACTACCCCGGAAGAACAGGACATCTGGCACCCCCACCCCTGCTCCTATACAGGGGGTCCAGGTCACACTCTGAGGGAGCCTTGGGCCAAATCTGAATGCTGACTACCTGTGTGACTCTGGCACTGTACCTCCTGCCCACCCCCAATTTCCTGTCCTCAAAAATGAAAAGAACAGGACCACTGTGAGGAAGACATGACAGTGTGGGGACACTGTTTAGCAAAGTACCAGACACACAGTAACTCTTAGCTTTCATTATTATTACTATTATTCTGACCAAGTCTACAGGCTTTATGTTGCCCAAGCACACCAGGTATGTATACATAGAGAGGCTTCTGCAGGCAGAGCAACTGATGCAAAATTAAAATTAATTCTTGGGTCCTCTGCTGAGCAAGCCACCATCCTAGCCAAGAGTGCCCACCTGTCTGTCTGGAGTCCTAGAGAACACTGGACACCACAGGGGTCTCCTCCGAGGGAGACAACCCAAGCTCTAAAGCTACTCACTAAGAGAGTCTCACTGCTGGAAACTCTGTTAAGTACAAAACCATAAGAACCATCCTGTCTGCCTCCTCATCTCCCTTCTGGAAGCTTTGATCTTGTTAGAGCATGGGTTAACATGGGAGCAGAAAACCCCAAAGAGTTGCACTCACTTTATTAATCCAGATCAGCCCTGGGATTTGGTTGGAATTAATTTGCATCTCTAGCCAGGGTCTCATGCGCATCCGAGTGATGGGCATGTTGGCTGTGAAGAGAAGACAGAAGGCTCCCGTTTGGTGTCTGTTGAACAATTCCCTTGGGTATCACCCTGCCCTACCCTCCCCCTCCCTCCCCTCAGCTAAGTACCTAGTCCTCACAAATACTGGGAAGGGAGCTGCACTGTGATAATAAAAACTGCTCTCCAAATCCTGGGAGAGCCGGGCATGGTGGTGCATGTCTGTCATCCCAGCACTCCAAAGGCTGAGGCAGGAGGATCGCCATGAGTTGGAGGCCAGCCTGAACTACACAGCAAGCCCATCTCAAAAAAAAAAAAAAAAAAAAAAAATCCTGAACATCTTGGGTAAACACCTGCCCCTTCTCTCCCCTCGCAGCCATTCGCAGGAAGACACAGTGAGCAAGTGACAGCCTCAGGCTGTATGCGCAGGACAAGAAATGCATAGCTGTACTTTCATACCAAAACTTTTCTCCAAAAATTGAAACCCTTGGAGGTCGCAGAGGCTTCTTTTGCTTGATGCCACGAAGAAACTGCTAATCCTTCAGTTGCTGCCATTAGCTATGTAGCTGGCCACTGGTCATCTTACATCCTGGACACTTCCCCCAACTATGTCCCCCTCCGTTCTTTCCGCACCTTTCTGAGAACCACGATGCCCACCCACAACGCTGAGGCCAGGATACAATCCTTTCCAGAAAGGCCTGGTCTCCCCTCCTCGAGGGAAGTGGTGAAGAACACCTGTGGTGTCACCACCTGCAGCTCCCTTGAGAAAGAAGCTCCCCTCCAGAAACTCAGGGCAGCGAGTACGCCGAGCCCGAAATCTGGGCTATGGGCTCCAAGCTGGGACCGCCGAACGCCACCCGAGTCGCCGGTGTGCGCCGTGGATGCGCGCGACGACGGTCGAACCCGGCCACCTAGAGGCCCGGCAGCTGCGCGCACGTAGCCCTGCAAAGGCTGCCGGCCCGCGAGCTCGGGCAGTGGGCGGTCCACGCCGCGGCCCGCCCTCCTCGGCAACCGCTCCAGCGCCCTCGCGAGCCCGCGCGCCCGCGACTCCCCGGCCGGGCTCTCGGCCCCCACTTCCTGGTGTCCCGCGCGCCTTTTGTTCGACGCCGCCGCGGCTCCCCGCAGCGAAGGCGCGCTCACCTTTGCAGCAGGGACGATCAGCCGGTTGCGTCCGAGGGTCCCGGCGAGGCGGGCGCTGCAATGCTGGCGCGCAAAGCGAAAAGAAGGCGGAGGTTGCCCGGATCCTGGGCCGTGGGACACAGCCGGCCTCGGCTGGGCACGACTCGGGCTGGCCTCGGCTCGTTCGACTCCGCTGGGCTCGACCCGACCTGGCTGCAGCGCACGTCCTACCTCGACGAAGGAGTGGCGCGCTCTGCCGGGGCCGCTGCGCGGAGGAGCGGTCTAAACACTTAGCGGGATTCCCCGGCCGGCCCGGCCCCGCCTCCCCCGGCCGCGCGCGCGCCCATTGGCCGGCGCCGCCCCGTCATTTCGGGGAAATCAGGCTGTTGTAGAGCTAAGCGGCGAAGGGGAAGTACAGGGCGGCTGTTCCTCCCCGCCCCCTCCGGCCCGGCGCCACCGCCCCGGGGCCACCGCGGGCCCGCCCCACCCCGCGCTCCCACTCCGCCCCCGCGCCCGCTTGCCAGCGCGCCCGCCCCCGGCCCCGGGAGAGGCTGTCCTGGAAAGCCGGGCGAGCACCTCGGCCACCGACTCAGTCCTGCTGGCTCCCGTGGCCGCCGCCTTTCCCCCCGCTCGGGGACACAGCTCGGAGCGCAGGGAGAGGTCACCTGGGCACCTGCCGCCTCCACGCCAGTACCGAATCCCTGCGAACCAGCTGGCTCCCCCAGCCCGCGAACAAGGTGGCCAGAAGGCAGGGTTTCCGCCCTCCGTGTGCCTCTGTGCGTCCTACCCCATTACCCACCTGCCGCAGAGGAAACCTCCCTGTGTGATGGGCCGCTGCCGGAAAGGAAACACTAACCTGGCAGCCGTGGGCATGGCGACAAAGGACTGGACCTCGGTGTCCTGGGCTGCAAAATGACAGTAGCCCAACCTGGCTGGCTTGTGAATGGAGAAAGGTGATGTTTGTAAGCGCCGCCGCGTTCCACGCGGGCCTGGATGCTGTGGTTTTCAAGGCTGCCGTCCCCTCACGGTGATCAAGGTGACACCTCCACCCCCTGTGTGCATCCCTGAGTTCCAGGAAGCTGGTGGTTCCTCCTGTGGCTGGGCATCAGATGATTGCACAACCACTGGGGCCTTGCAAGGACACTCCAGTGGTATCTCGGTGGCACCTCTGGGTCCCCAAAGCTTGACCCTGAGTATTGTGGGCAACATGGAGGACTTGCTCAGGGCTGGCCTCTGCCATCGGTCTAGCTGAAGGGTTACACTGTCCAAGTCCATGCCCCTTGGCCAGGGCAGCAACTTAACTCCTGTGCTCAAAACCAGACCTCATGGAGGTTGGGCTGGGTGCACTTTTCATCCACTCTGGCCCTTTAGACTCCTTCCTTCCTTCCTTCACCTCCCCACAGCTGCTAGCTCAAAAGTCGGGCTCTTTCAGGTGTGCCACCCTCCCCCAGCTGTCTGCCCGCAGCAGCAATTGCACCATCTATAAATGGGCTCCCTAACACCGAGCTTCACCTGTCCACATTCCCTGCTGCCCTGCCTCGGAGCCCTGGCTGGCATATCCAGGTCTGGTGTGTGCCAGGATGGAGTGTTGTAGCCGGATGCCACCTCTGGTTCCCAGGAGACCAAGGGCAAGCGCATCGGAGGCCTTTGAGGAAGGAGCCCAGCCAGACACTAAGCATAGTGCTGGGTACTGAGGCTCTGGAAAGGGCAGATGGGTTAGGGGTGCTTTGACTGACAAATGAGGTGAGAATCTGCTACAGGGACCAAGACCTGAGCAAGAACAGAGAATAAAATAAGTGATTCATAGGTCATGACATCTGTTCTTGGTGTAGCAGGTGGATATTTGTCCTGATCCTTGAGGAACTGACACAGCTGCTGGAAAATTTAAAATAAGATTAGGGAGAGGAAAAAAAAACCATTTTTTTAAACAGGTTCTCATCATGACTTCATGCTGTCCTTGAACTCACTATGGAGTCCAGGATGCAGTGAGCCTCCTACCTCAGCCTCCCCAATACTGGGATTAGAGGCATGTGCCACCACCCCCAGCAAGGGAGGGGAAATTTTTTGTCTTTTTCTTTTTTATCGGTACCAGGGATCAAACTCACGACCACATGCTTGCAAGGCAGGCGCTTAAGCCGCTGAGCTAAATCCCCAGCTCCTGGGAGGAGAAATTTTTAACTTTCAGCCTTAGAAATTGACAGCAGTGACCCTGTGAAGACAACAGGTTATAAAAGTGCTTTAAAACAAATTTTATATTCAAAGACAATCACCTATAATATGTATAATGTATATAATAAGAATCTTTACATGCTGATAAACATACATGTGCGATATTACCTGTAATGGGTCCATATTTTCTTTTATAAGAATAAATGAAAATTTACCAATTAATCCCCTACTGTAGGACATTTAGGTTATTTCCGTTTTTTTTTTCCACAATACAAACAATGTTAGCTAAATCTCTGCACACTCAATAATTTTTGGCTTAGGAGAAATTCCCCAGTGTTAGGATTTACCAATGAAACTATCACATTGTTGAAGTGATTTTTGAGTTTTTCCCCCATTAACACTAGAAATTATTTTATTTTGAAATCTGTAAGGATCTGCTTACCTCTGGGTGTGGTGGCACATCCTTATGATCCCAGTACTCTAGGAGGCTGAAGCAGAAGAATTTCAAATTTAAGCCCAGCCTGGGCAATTTAGCAAAAACTTTTCTCAAAATAAAAATTAAAAGTGTCAGGCAGAACTGTAATCCCAGCACTCAGAAGGGTGAGGCAGGAGGATTGCCATGAGTTCAAGAGCAGCCTGAGCTACAAAGTGAGCTTGAGGCCAGCCTGAACTGCAACGAGACCTTATGTCAGGAAGACAAATAATGTAAAATAATTAGAAAACAAAACAATTAGAACAAGGTGATACGGCTCAATGTAAAGGCCCTGGGTTAAGTCCCAGTACTACACACATGCACACACACACGCGTGCACGCCACGCTCCTTCACCCTCCCTGAAGTCTTTCTCATCCTTTTGGCTTCACCTGGTCCCCTGCGACTTCCGTTGTGTGTCAGCTGGTGGTTTCACATTCCAGGGCTGGAGGTTCCTTACCGCAGCCTCCCTCCCTGTGAGACCTGCTGGGGAAAATGTCGCTGCACTGCATATCCCACTGGCTCTGAGGGTGCTGAACATCCAGTCCCCCCCCCCACAGCAGCCTCATGAGCTCCCTGATGCACCCCCTAGGCCCCACATTCAAATCCTCTCCTGTCGGGGCAGCAACTAGAGAGGGTTAGGAAGAGGACACAGGCTTTGCTGAATGCTTGGGTTCTGTTGAATTTTGCCACTTGCTGTATACTTTAGGAACTTGCTGTGTGTCTGTCTCCCTGAGTTTCTTATCTATCACCTAGATATAATCTCTGCCCATTTCTCCTACTTGTGAGGGTCATGATGCCCACTTTGACTGCAGGAAATCCCACAGAAGAGACCAAAACCAACATGGAGTCACTCATGCTAAATGGCATTTAGTTAACTGAACATTTAAGGAAGCAGACAGACTCCAAACCAGATTGCAGTAGCCTAAAAACAGGAGAGTTTAATTACTCAAGCCAGCACAACAAGGAAGTGTCTTCTGCTTTAAAAACGTAACCTGAATTACTGTGGTGCTAACCCAGCAGGTGTGTTCCCCCCCCCTCCATGTTTTATTTCCTTGTTCCCAGCTGACCAAGCCCACTCTTCTGTGATCACCTGGTGGGGGCCACTGGTTCACAAATCAGAACTAAAAGCCACTAAGATCTATAACTAAATGTGCAGTGATTTTGTCTTATGACAAGACCGGATTAGTAGCCTATTAAAGTCCTTTCCCAAATGACTGGCAAACGTTAGTGGCTGAAATGTGTCAACCATGACCGAGCCAAAGTGATCACCGCACTTTCAGGCTCTGAACACCGTCTTTTCCACGTTGGCCGCTCCCTTCCATCTCCTCCTCATCCCTGTCCCCCTCTAACTGAGCAACACTCACTTCCTCCTCCCATTCCAATTTCTGTCTTCTGTTTAAGGCCCAGAGCAAATCCCAGGGTTTATAAAGTGGGAACCCCCTAAACCGCCCATCAGAGCCCCCTTACCCCGGGGTGACCGCCCACTGTGCTCGGTCACATCCAGGTTGGCTCAATTTCTGCGGGCATCTTTCTCAGGCAGGTCCTCGAGGTGACTTTTTGGGATTCAGATGCTGGAGGGCAGGAGCAGCACTTACAAACACGCACTCTATGAGACCCTCTCCCTCCTCCTTTTCCTCCCCTGGGGACCCATTAGTCCTGACACTGCCAGGCTGCACCCCCACTCCCAGCCTCCCTAAGGTGCTGCTTCGGTCCTGGCAGAAATCCTCTCAGTGGATGTGTTGTAACATTCTTTGCCGGGTTACTAATTTATGATAGACCTTTCTTGGAAATCTGTGGTCAGATCATCCGCCTAATGAGATGTGTGTGGAAAAGGAAGCACTCTCCGAAATCAGACTTCTTCACTTCTTCGGGGACTTGGGTTGCATCACGCTGGCCCTCCAGGAAAGGCAGACCCTCGGCCTGGCTCCCAGCCTCACAGGCTCAGAGCTGACAGGAGCAAAGCCCCTCACTGCTGTCGCTATTTTCACAGCGAGCCTGGAAGGCAGGTAGTTTTTACACTGTGCAGTGCAGAACGCATAGCAGACAGAAAAGGCATTTTCTGCGGGCAAAAGCTTGATGAAAGAATCCGGGCACGAGCTGAGCCAGCGTGGTGGCACAAACCTGTATTCCCACTACTCGGAAAGCTGAGACAGAAAGATTGGCCTGGGATACAGAGAGTTCAAGGGTAGCCTGAACTACATAGGGAGACCCTGTCTCAAAAATAAATAAAACAAAACAAACAAGTCTAGGCACTATCAACCTGCTTGCAAGACACATAAATAGAAAATCTTTAATTCATTCTGCACCTAAGAATCACGCTGCTGCTCTGGATTTATCCCGGGCTTGGCCCTGGTGATTCCCCGGGGCACAAGACCAGCCCTATCCCTCGCCAAGCGTTCGCAAAAAAAAATGCTGTATGACACAGCAGAATAAAAGTTGCACTGTTATTAAAAATCCCGAGTTTGGAGTGGGCGGCTGCAGCGGGATCGCGCGGCGCTCGGGCGGAGCCCTCCCCCAGCGCCGCGGGCGTGTGGTGTGACCGCGTGGGCGCCGGGGCTGGGCGCGCGCTTTCGTTTCTTATAAACACGGCGTTGGGAGGAAAGCGCTCCGCTCCCCTCCGCCCCGTGGGTCGCTGGGCCGGAGGCTCTGGGCGGGCCCGGCGGCCGTGACCTGGGCGGGCCGGGAGCAAGCGTGCGTCGCCCTCCTCGGGGCGCTCGGCCCGCTCCGCCCCGGCGCGGCTCCCGCGTCCCAGGGGGCGCACAGGGCTCTCACGCCCATTCGGCCGCAGCTGGGGGCGCAGGAGGAGGGGCGCAGGCCCCGGAAGCCGGACGACCTCCACCGCGCGGTCCCGCCCCAGAGGAGGCGCGCGGCCCGCTCCGGGCAGGCGCGCGGGCTTCCCGGAAAGGGAGGGCGGCCGAGCGCCCAGCTGAGCGGCCCAGGTGGCGGCCTGGGGCCGTGTGCAGCCCCGCGCGGCCGGGGGCGCACTCGCAGGTGGCCTGGGCACTTCCTCCTCCTCTCTGCTAGCCTCCGCCGCGGCCAGGGCTCGCGGGTGCAGCTAGCTGCAGCAATAGGCTGTTGACCTTGGCAAGTTGCTGCACATCTCTTGTGCCCATGATGCCCCGTCCCCAAAAAGCCAGCAGCACTGGTGGGCGGGGGAAGTGCTCCGTCAACGCTCCTGGGGTCTCTTCTCTCTCTCCCAGGTCCCCACCCCACCCTTACGTGGTCCGTGCACGGTGGGGCGCTGCAGCCGGACGCCACAGTCCCCTGCAACCGAGAAACGCGCGGGGGGCCCGAGCCGCTGGCAGACGCGGCCCCTGGGATAGCGGCGTCTCGCACGGTCGGGGGCGCGCCAAGGCCCGCGACATGGAGAAGAGGGGCACGGGTCACATCGCCCAGTCCTGAGCAGCCGTGGGTCCTGCGAGGCCGCGCCGAAGGGGCGGGGCTTGGGTTTCGGTTTCTTGCAAAAGCGGAGGCCACAGGGAAATCGAGGAGTTTCCGGGAACCGAGCCGGGAGCGCTGAGGTCGCAGAGCTGCGGGGGGCGGGGACAGGCGGGTGTCCAGGGTCCTGGCCAGCGGCGCCTGGAAGTTCCCACGGGAGCCGGGGAAAACTGGTTCCCAAAAAGTCCCTCTTAATGCACCTGCCCTGTCCCTCCAAATCTGGGGTTCACCCAGAAGAGGGGGGGTTGTGAGGGAGGAACGCACAGACAGGGTGGCCTGTCTAGAGAGGACATGGCTCCCAGCCCAGAGTTTGGGGGATGCACAGGCCGAAAAGGAGGGACTGTACCGGGCAGGTGGGCCTGAAGAATGGGGAGACTCCTCAGATGGCTGGAGGAGGTCCCCAGCTGTTCCCCTGGCCCTCACATTCAGATTGTCATCCTGATAAGCTCTCTTGCTCCCTGAAACTATCCTCTGGGTGTTTGCACTTTGGTTATTTATTGGAAGATGTCCCCAGTGACCTGGAGCCCCTTAGGAGTGGGACCCTGCCTGTGGTGTGCTGCCTGCTGCGTGCTGGTCTAGGGGGAGCTAACCACCAGAAGGGCCTCACCATGATTCTTTAATAAATCCAAGAACTGGGGCTGAAGATTAAGTTCCGTGACATAAGCACCTGCCTGGCAAGTGTGAGGTCATGAGTTCAATCCGCCCCCCCCTACCAAAAAATAATCCAAGAATGGAGTAAATTTGAGGCATATGTGGGGGCCACAGGGTATCCGGATCTGTTCCCCTGCTCCCTAACTCAGTCAGATCCTGCGATGATGACCCCAGGTGAAGGAGGACCCCCGCAGTGGGTGAGACCTCAGGCCCATTGGGAGCAGGGCCCTGGAAAGGGACAGTGAAGTCACCGCAGAGGAATGTTCCCTGTGGGGCTGGTCACTTCCTTCCCTCCCCAGGGCTTGCAGTGAGTGAAGGCCAGAGATGCTTGTGGGCTGGGCCTTGATCCAAGCCCAGAAGGGATTTGGGGTGGGAAAGCACATCTCAGGACCCTCCCTCTCACTTCTCCAGCCCTGAGGTACCTCGAGTGCAGGTGGACAGTGCCACCTGCAGAGCTCCCATGTTTCCTAGATTCTCCCTTTGAGGCTGCAAATGTGTGGCAGGGATCTGGCTCCTTGTGGTCATAAATCACCCTGAGCAGAGCTTCCTCCATCCAGAAAGAGGAGGAGGGAGCAGACCCAGCCATCAGGAGCCACCCGCCTACCAGGGAAGGGCTAGGCCACAGCTCCTCCCACATCTTCCCCCCCCCCCCCAGCCCAGGCTCAGGACCAGGGTAGCTGCCTGGGAGAAGGCCAGGGAAACTCCAGAAACTGCAAGAATGGAGCTTGTGCTGTGAGTGCAGGTCCTGGTGACTGGTGACTCAGCTGGGAATCCCGTCTCTAGGGGTTCTCCTAAAATCGAGGCTGAGGCTCTGGACCATGAGCTTAGTGAAGCCCCAGACCACATGGGCCATGGCCTGCTTTAGCAACTCACATGGCCCAGGGCTGGACCCATTGATGCCAGTCCCTGCTCAGTCTCCTGAGTCAGGCCCAGCCCCAGTGCAGGCTGATAAACTGGGACTGGGAGAAGACCCAGTCCTCAGAGTGTCTGTCTAACCAGCGGCCACATCCCAGAAAGGGCAAGTGTAGCTAAAACTAGAAAACAGCGGCAGGAATGTGTCTTCATGCCTGGCACGTGGCTAGACCTGGGTTCTAGGTGCATTCATGGCAGAAAAGTGGGGCAAGAGGCGGAAGACGCAGCAGAGTTGTGGGTTCACTGCTGTAGCTTTAGGAGCCAGCCTTGGCTGGGCACGAAGGAAGCCCTTCCACAAACCAGCGCAGTGCGGACAGGTGGATGGATGGCTGGTGGTTTCAGCAATGTACAGTTTTCCCTGAAGATGATGTTAGTGATAGAACTGTGGGGGACTCACAGCAGCATGACAGTTTTTTGTTTGTTTGTTTGCTTTTTTTTTTTTTTTTGGTACAAGGGATCAAACTTATGACCTTGTACTTACCAGGCAAGCACTTGAGCTGCTGATGCTGAACTAAATCCCTGGGGCAGCATGACAATTTCTGCAGACCTGCCGCGATGGGAGGGAATGAGGGGAGTGGGGTGGCTTTCCCGATGGAGCAGCACTGGGTTTGTTTCCGTCCCTCCAAAGGGGATCTTAAAGTTCTGCCTCGACTGGGAATTGAATGGCAAAGGGCTGTCCTGACACAGAGCAAGGGCCAAGGCGATGACACGCCAGTCAGGGGCCCTCTTCCTCTCAGGAAGCCAGTCTCAAGTTAGATGGCTATCCAGGTCTTTCTTGGTGTGAATCAGCTCTCGGAAAATCTCCGAGCACGGAGTGGTTAATCAGCAGGAGGAGTGAAAGGTCATCAGAAACCCACCTGCCGGGATGGCCCAGGAGAAAGTATAACTGCCCTCTGTCCTGCCTGACAGGTGATAAGCCAGTGTGTCACACAGGTGATAGGCCACACACAGTGCATCACCATGTGCTGTAGCCAGCGTCCAGTGCTGCACTGTGATGTTCAGTGGACTGGAGTCCACGGCTGGGGAAAGAGCAGACAGGGATTTTCTGGGAAAAGAGCCTCTGGGTCCGGACTCCTCTAGTGACCAGTCACTTCCAGGAAACAGAAGTCGTTCTCATTTGCCTGAGATCCCTGGTGAATGACAGAGGCCTCTTGCAACCTCCTGGGCTCAGGCGTGAGGACCTTACTGAGCCTTCGGTGGAGCAGGAGATTGCAGAAAGCTGAGAGCTTATGCTTATGTATCCAGTGTCCTGGGACGGGGCTCAGCCCTGGGCCTGCGCTGGGAAATGAGAAGCCAGAGCCATAGTCCCCACTGCTGACCTGCGTGGGAGCTCTCCCGAGGTGGAACCGGTGCAGGGGACAGCCTCCCTGGCCCCCAGCACTCTGCCCGCAGACAGCAGTGTGTGTAAGTGTACTCCACCTGCGGGATGACAGATGTGTGTCATACCCAAGTACGAGGCCAAGGGACAGAGACGCTGGGGATGCGGGGACCAAACCAAGGTGTCTCAGCTGGTATTTGCTGGTGGCTGCTCGAGGAGGTGGCAGTTCAGCGAGCCCAGGATAAGCTAGTGCTTGGTAGTCAGAGAGCAGGAGGAGGCCTCAGAAAGACCTGCGGTCAGAAGTACAGGGTAGAGCTTGCTATCAGTGTGGCCTAGGATGGCTGTCCCTGGAGCTGAGGCGGGAGCCACCATGGGCGGTGGCCATGAAGAACCCGTTCACCATACTCAGGGGTATGGGCAGCGGCAGCTCCTGGCAGGACCAACAGCTCTCCCTCCTGGGTCCAAGGCCCAGACCAGGGTGTCTTCGAAGACCACTGGGAGTCTGCCCTGGGCCTTAGAAAGCTCTGTGACTGCCTCAGAGGCAGGTGGCATGCCAGGTTGCCACAAGGTAGAGGCAGTCTTCTCCGGGCTCCTAAGGTGCCACTCACTGTCAGGAACCCGAGTCACTGGTGTTGTCAGCTAAACTCTCGCTCGTGTGCAGCCTTGCGCTCTTGTGCAGACTGTCAGGAGATGGTGCTTCTTCAAAACACAGGACCTGAGATTCCTCTGTGTCCTTTAGATTGGGGGAGGGGGGACTGAG